CTCCCCGGCCACAGGCTCCGCGCAGCGCCCGGGCAGGTGAGGGGCCGCGGGACCGGCGTGCGGAGCGCGCGCGTGTGCCTCTGCGCGTGTATGTGTGCCTCTGTGTGTGTGTGTGTGTGTGTGTGTTTGTGCACGTACATGTGCATGTGCGCGCGTGTATTATATGTGTGTGCACACCCGTGCACGTATATGTGTGTGCCTGGGTGTGTGTATCTATATGTGTGCCTGTCTGTGTATGCACGTACATGTGCGTGTGTGCGTGCATGTATTATATATGTCTGCACACACGCATATGTATGTGTGTGCGCCTGGGCGTGTGTGTTTGTGCAAATACATGTGTGTGTATATCCGTGTGTGTGCGCACATGCACATGTATATTTGTGTGCCTCTGTGTGTGTGTGTGTGTGTGTGCATACACTCAGATAAGGGGAGGAAGGTGGGTTAGGGGGCCTGTTACGTGTGCACGGGAGAGGGATCTGGACTAGCGGGAGGTGAGTGGACACGTTAGAGCGAGGGGAGATTCATATCACATCACCCGCCCCGGGGTACCAGCCTCAGGCGCCCGGTTTTGCCCGCAGTGAGTGTGAGCTCTCCTGCTCGCTCACCGCCTCTGCCAGGGCCTTCTCATGGGCCTTCCTGAGGCGGGCACGCGCTGTGTGCCCTTGGGAGACCTCGGGGCCAGTGGGGCGCTGAGCCCGTGTGGGCAGATCAGGACCGGGATGCAGGTAGGCAGGTGTGTTTGAGGGTTTGCTGCCTACAAACATGCTGTCCTCTGAGGAGGTTCCTCCTCCAGCACCAGGTTGCGTCTCTGCTCACAGATCCGTTGCGGCCCCTGATAGAACCGCAGCCCCTGAACTGGCTCTCAGCCTCCACCATAATCTGGAACAACACATCTAACAATCAAAGCCACAAACTCCCCGGTTCAGAGTTGCGCCAGCACAGGGCCTCATGGTTCAGATCTTTTTTCAAGGGTCAGTTTGCTCCAGGGTTCGCCCTCACTTTGATTCCTCTTTGCCCCAAACTGGGCTGAGGGAGGTTGGCAGCCCTGGGATCAGAACTGCTCTACATGAGGTAGCTGAGGAGTAAAGTGGAGAGAGACATGCTTGAACAACTCTCCCAACACCCGAGTGAAACCTCACTTGGCTTGTATATACGCATTCCT